CAAATTGACGGAGCTGCATGCACAAATGCTCGATCACCAAGAGTCTTGGCTCTAGTTTTTGGGATAAAAAGTAGTCCCTGATCATCAGATCTCAGTTGGTAACAGCAGTTCGGTTTTTCTAACAACAGTTCCATAATGTAGCCATAACAAGCCGTTGACAACTTGTCAACAAGCTGGGAACAAGCAGTGCGAACACATCCTGTTGACAAGTTGTTGGAACAGCATTGCTACAAGTCTGCTCCAGGTTTGTTACAACTTGTGCGTTTTTACGCGAGTAAGGCTACATGGTCATTGCATAATATGGCTATGACGTCACGTTGTTGTGATGTCACGGCACTGTGACGTCACATAACCATCACGTGTGACGTACTATGCTATGACATGAATACAAGTATTCGACCTTTTAGTAGTTTCAACAGTATTCTGATATTTTTCACTCAGTTCCAGTCTCTCGCTCTCTTTCTCCTGTTTCGTGTTTTTCAGCTGTTCCTCCAGGGAGTTGATGTGCGTCTGCAAAGACGATACATGCTCAGCGGTCGGCCTAAGGAAGGGAAAATGCCATGTTAGCAAAAGTGATACGGTTCACAAAAATCCCAAATGGATGATTCCATTTGATCTAGACAAGAACGAAATCCATTACCATAGCTGGAAAGAGCATCCTAAAATGAGTAAAATTGCAAAGTTTGGTTGCGAATTGTTGTAAAATGAAGAAAATATAGCCTGTGAAGTTCGCACATTTTGTATATATATTTGCATTACGCGCGGGAAAAATAACCATTTTTGAGCCGAAAGTGATTATTTTTACCGTGCGTAATACAAATATATACAAAATTTGCGAACTTCACAGGGCTATATATTTTCTTCATTTTACAACATTTAGCAACCAATCTTTGCAGTTTTACTCATTCTAAGGCGCTCTTTCTAGCTGTGGTGTTGCATTTCGTTCTTTTTGCCTTGATCAAAATTTAGTGTATAGCTGGAGTCACCCATTAATTCTACCCTTTATGCCATTCAGAGTGGGTCATTTTGGCCGTTCAAAAACAGACATTGTTCGCCCTAATTCATTTGGATTTTGGGAACTCTCATTCATCTGGATTTGGATTAGAAGGGGTTTGTTTATGTGGCCTCATTGATGAATTTTATGTATAAAATTCAAACTCAAAATCTACAACAACAAATCCCTTATTCATTTGCGCTGCCACATAATTTGTCAAGACATACGTTGATGTATTTTGAGTCCTGTATTAAACTTTCCTGAAATAATAGACGCGTGTGCTACATACCTTTGTCCCAGCTGTGTCTCTAAATCACCGATTGTTTTCGATTTATCCTCCAATTCTTCCTGCACAAAAAATGACCATGACAATGAAAACATTTTAACGAGTGATGTTAACAGTATACACACACGTAAAAACGCACAAGTTGTTACAGGTCTGGGAACAAGTTGTTACAAATCTGTTCACTTGTAACAAGTTTGGAACAATCTTTTAACAACTTGTAACAAGCTTGATGGGATTATCAGACTTGTTACAAGGTTGTTCTAACAAATCTGATACAGTCATGATATAACAAGAATGTTACAAGGTTGACGACACGAGGTTGTAACAATATTGTTATATCATAACTGTATCGGACTTGTTGGAACAACCTTGCAACAAGTGTTGTGAAAGCTGTTAATAACTTGTTGACAACTTGGGACAAGCAGTGCGAACACAACTTGTTGACGGCTTGTTGGCAGACTTGCTACAAGATGTGAGATTTTTGAGAGACAAGTTAACAAATAAAGTTATGATAAAGTTAATAAAGTTAACCGTTTAAATAAAGTTACAAACTCATTAATTATTCATAAAGAAAAAACAAAGGAAATCGCTACCATGTTGGTGTAAACTTTAACTTTGATTTTCTCGGCTTAGACAACGTTTATTTTAAAATTATTTCGCCAAAAAACTCAAAAGATAGATAGGTCGTTTTTAAACCATTTAAACATCACAGTCTGTGCTTTATCATCGATATAAAACTCGCGGCTATCGCCTCGAATTTAGAGAGTTTGGCAAATACAAAGGCAACGGCAATATGGTCATCGACAATAGCATTAATCCTCGAAGACAAAGGCGAATGTAAATCACATGATCTTAAGCGTTGTGCAATGCTGTAGTTGTTGAAACTAATACGTGATTTGCATCATTTTCACGGTGCATGACTACGGCAACGGTTAATTCGTTCGATGTTATTTGAGGTGTTTTATTTGAATTCGCGGACTATTTTTACGTTTGAAAGAAACAGGAAGCAAATTAAGTGTAGTAACGTATACTTTGGCTCAAATACAACAATATAAGCAATTATATTTTCCCCGTTGCCTTTGCCGTACTAGGTTGCCAAACTCTCTAGTACCTAACGTTTCGCGGCGAATTATTTTGCTGACCAATCACACTGCCAAGGTTTGTTTTTCGCTTCGCTTGGCGCGAACAAATTCGCCGAGCGGACAATGGGCTTAAGAAAAACACTTGGAACCGGCTCGAGAGTTTTACGCTTTCCGAAAGTCTCGTAACATCCCCCGTGCATGGATGACGCTATCCTTCACAGAAATCCATTTGATATTCCTTTATTCATCCATACCTTCATTCCTTCACAAGATTTCTCAAGTGAAATGCGTTTCTGTTCTTCGTCTTTGAGTTTCGACTGTAAGGCGACGAGTTCCGAGTTCATTTCCGAAGATTTCTGAACCAATGAGAGCTGTTCCTCCTGGCTGCCTGACTTTGCCTCCAAAGCATGCACTAAGTTTTGTTTCAATTCGTTGACTTCTGCAAGAAAGGTTGTAATGTTGTTATGTTATAAAGGAGAGGAGTACATAGCTAATTCAGAAAAGATTGTCCTTTGCAAACCTTATAAAACTCATTAATAATTCACAAATAGCTGCAATATTCAACTACTGAGCTTGAAACTTGTGTTCCCATTAAACTTTGCGCGCTTAGTGTTTAAGGTTTAAGGAGTTTAAACGTTCGCAAAGGACAACCTTTTTTGAATTGGCTGTATATTATATCATAACCGACATGAATGAACAATTGATTATACCCGTCGTTTTCTCCTGTTCAGACAACTTTAGTTTTTCTTCAAATTCCTTCGTACATTTGTGCTTTTCCTTTAGAGAATAAAGAAAGAAACGTCAACAATAAAACGAGCTTGCAATTTGACTCTTCCGAAACAAGTGTGGATTTCGTTCTCGACCAATCAGCGCATTCGTTAACGATTTCGCTCTAAGGCAATCAGAATGCGTAATTGGTTATTATATGTAGTAATGGCATTTGAAAACAGAGTTTTGGCATTTGAAAACGGAGTTTTGGCATTTGAAAACAGAGTTTTGGCATTTGAAAACAGAGTTTTGGCATTTGAAAATGGAGTTTTGGCATTTGAAAAGGGAGTTCTGGCTTTTGAAAAGGGAGTTCTGGCATTTGAAAAGGGAGTTCTGGCTTTTGAAAAGGGAGTTCTGGCTTTTGAAAAGGGAGTTCTGGCTTTTGAAAAGGGAGTATTGGCATTTGAAAAGGGAGTTCTGGCATTTGAAAAGGGAGTTTTGGCATTTGAAAAGGGAGTTTTGGTTTTGGAAAAGGGAGTTCTGACATTTGAAAACGGAGTTTTGGCATTTGAAAAGGGACCGAGTTTCGGCATTTTAAAAGGGATTTCTGGCATTTGAAAAGGGAGTTCTGGCATTTGAAAACAGAGTTTTGGCATTTGAAAACAGAGTTTTGGCATTTGAAAACAGAGTTTTGGCTTTTGAAAAGATAGTTCTGGCTTTTGAAAACGGAGTTCTGCCATTTGAAAACGGAGTTCTGGCATTTGAAAAAGGAGTTTTGGCATTTGAAAAGGGAGTTTTGGCATTTGAAAACGGAGTTTTGCTATTTGAAAACGGATTTCTGCCATTTTGGCATTTGAAAAGGGAGTTCTGGCATTTGAACAGGACCTACGTAACTGCCGCGTGATTGCTTTTCATCTGAAAATTTTAAGCACAAATCAAATGCCTATTTTTGAAACGCAGCTTCCTAGAATTACAATGATTAAAACAAACCTGTTCCAAGTTTTGAAAAGCTTCGAGTCTTTCCTGTTTCTCAGCTTCGAGTTTGTCTACTTCTTCCTTCAGCGCGCTGCTGTACCATTTCTCCTCCTAAGAAAAAACAAAATCAATTTTCTAAGCAGAGCCGTGTTCAACGAGGCATAATTTCCAGTTATGGCGCCGCTTGTTTCGAAGCTGGTTTACTTAGCGTTAATCCTCCAGGGTTAAAGTCTAGATTACTATTTTGGTTTGTATCAAGGAAAACCCTTATTGATCCAGACAATATTTCCATGTTTATAAACTAGCTGTTACGAAGAACACTTAAACTAAAAAGACTATTTTAGGATTCCACAACTTGTCAACAAGATGTGTTCGCAACAGGCTTGTAGCAAGCTTGTCAACAAGTTGTGACAATGCTGTTATTTTATCAAGTTGCTACAAGCTTGTCACTCACAACTTGTTGACAAATTGTTGAATTTCAGGTCGATAACAAGTTGTTGGAACAACTTGTAACAAGTCTGTTGAGCTCAACAACCTTGTAGCAAGTTGTCAACAAGGAATTGACAACTTGTCAACAAGCAGTGCGAACACATCCTGTTGACAAGTTGTTGGAACAGCATTGCTACAAGTCTGCTGCAGGTTTGTTAAAAATTGTGTGTTTCTATATGTATATATGTATGTAGCAAATAGACAATTCCCATTATAGACTAATTTTAAAACTAGGCAAGGAAATGCAAATAAATCACCACAGCTAGAAAGAGAATACTAAAATTAGTACAATTGCAAAGTTGCAAAATGTTGTAAAATGCGGAAAATATAGCCTAGCAAATTTTGCAAATTTTGTACACTTTTGTATTGCGTGCGGAAATTGATACTATTTTCGCCCCAAATGTGGTAGCAATTTCCGCAAGCAATACAAAAGTATACAAAATTTGCAACGCTATATTTTCCGCATTTTACAACATTTCGCAACCAAACTTTGCAATTCTACTCATTTTAGTATGCTCTTTCTAGCTGTGGTGATTGAATTACATCTCCTTGCCTAGTTTTAATATTAGTCCATAATGGGAATTGTCTATTCACTAATTGGAGTATTGCCGTACTGGATTTCTCATTCTTCAAAATACCTTCAAAGCAGCATTAATGTCATTAATTTCACGTTGTAATGCGACCACTTCCGTCGACTTCTCTTCCAAATCTTTCAAAGTAGTGTCGAGTAACGACATATCTTCAGCATTCGTTCTGGTGTGTGACTCCTCATCGAACGACAACAGAGAGCCCGTACGTTCGCTCCAAATTTTAGATGAGTCCTGTCCATTTTTTATCACCGCCGATGTATTTTGAGTCGGCTGCAAATTTTGAAAAGTTGACAATAAAGGTCATTAAAATTTCATCACAGCTTGAAAGAGCATCACAAAATTAGTAATATTCCAAAGTGTCGTTGCGAAATGTTGTAAAATGCGGATAATATAGCCTTGTAAAGTTTGCCGTTTTTCAGTCATTTTGTATTACGCACGGGAAATTGACAGCCCAATCGGGTGTTGGGGCATCAATTTCCCGTTTGTAATACAGAATGACTGAAAATTGCAAATTTCGCAAGGCTATATTATCCGCATTTTACAACATTTCGCAACAAAACTTCGGTATTACTAATTTTGTGATGCTCTTTCAAGCTGTAATGAAATTTTTGTCTAGATCAAAATTTTAGTTATAAGGGGAAAGGTCCATTGTTCGAACGGCAACTTTAATAAATTTCAAACAGCTTTGGCCTTTGTAAGGCCCGTTTAAACCCGGCGATTTTTGCTGCGATTTTAGTTGCGATTTTCTCCTTTTGGAGGATGTGAAGAAGTAGATTACTTAATGATGTTGTTATGAGATTTTATAACCTGGAACATTTATAACAGATCTACTCCTTCACATCCTCCAAAAGGTGAAAATCGCAACTGAAATCGCAGCAAAAATCGCCCGTGTAAATGGTCCTTAAGACATGAACAAAATCAATTTACAAAAATGTCCAATTCTTAATGCCAAACAATTTCAGAAAATCACCACAAATTTCATCACAGCTTGAAAGAGCATCACAAAATTAGTAATATTCCAAAGTTTCGTTGCGAAATGTTGTAAAATGCGGATAATATAGCCTTGCGAAATTTGCAATTTTCAGTCATTTTGTATTACAAACGGGAAAATTGATGCCCCAACACCCTATTGGGCTGTCAATTTCTCGTGCGTAATACAAAATGACTGAAAAGCGGCAAACTTCGCATGGCTGTATTATCCGCATTTTACAACATTTCGCAACGAAACTTTGGAATATTACTAATTTTGTGATGCTCTTTCAAGCTGTGATGAAATTTTTGTCTAGATCAAAATTTAGTCTATAATGCAAATGGTCCATTAAAAGCAAGAACAATTTAAGTACTTTCAAGCACTTCTTTATAAACTCAAGGACTTTCAAGGATTTTGTACAAACCCTGTGGCCTCTGTAGCTCAGTTGGTTCGAGCGCTGCACTGGCAGTGGCGTAACGGACGAAGAGGGGGCCCTTAGGCATATTCGGAGTGGGGGCCCCTGTTGTCATTGTTTGACTGAAATATTATATTTATATTGAACATTTATAGAATGTTCTGGAAAATTCCGTGTCTATAACAATGACAATAACAGTCTCCAACATAACTGTTAAGAATAACTTTTGTTTAATTTGAGTTGGAATTAAAAAATCAGCTACCGTCGTCGATGGATGCTTGATTATTTAGCATTATTAATTTCGCATTTCCCCATTGATTCTTCACCTGCATTTTTTACGTTTTCTAATTTTCTGGGCGATAGACTGTGGCTGATGAGGCTCCTTTGAACTAACCCTAACCAATGAGCACTACGCCACTGTGCACTGGAATCACAGGGTCACAGGTTCGATTCTTTCCCGACAGCCTATAGTCAAATTTTTGCAGCTGCTCTTGCTTGCTGAAACCTATCTACAGTAGTATTGTCCTTATTCACTGCACCTTTGAGGCTGTTTCTGAACTTTCTGTAACCTGTGCTTCAGTGTGTTCTTTGTCCCAATGTGCTTGAAGATCTTCGGCATTTAAGAAACCCCAGTAGCATGACGAACATATAAAACCCTGGAAAATGATGCGAGAGTGTCAGTTCTAGTTAATGGATCTTACCGATTATCCTCTTTTACCCAATGGCCTTGTTTCCATGTTAACTTATTTTAGCATGTCGGGGGCAGATAAAGATTATATTCCCGTGTTTTCCCGGACAAATTTGTTTCTTGCTGTTCTTAGGCTCAATAACAAAGTAATTTTCAACCCTACTAAGGTCACATAAAAAATTATTACTTGTTTAGCGTCCACCCATTTTAATTTTTCTAGATCGGGCCGGCGGGTTTTTTGGTTTTTTTTTTTTTCGTAGAATGCAACACAAAATTCTGCTAAATGCAGGAAATCCAGTATACTACCCCAGTCAAAACTCACTTTAATTCTTTCAAAATCCGTTCATGTTTTTTAATACCATTCATGTTTTTAATTAAACAGAAAATTACAATTTGGCGTCCGAAGCGGCCACACACGAACACTTTACCTGCGAACAGGCATATTCTGGGAAGGAAATACTTCATGAAACATATTACATAGCTCCCGGAAGAATAAAATCACCATTTTTTCAAGTAAAACAGTCTTTCTTATAGAGAGTTTTTGCACTAAACTCGGACAGATTTTGGAGAAAAAAAATTTTAAAATTGGAGGTCGGGGAATTTTATCAGGTCGGGCGGGGACGCTAAACAAGTAATTTTTTATGTGGCCTAAGCACAAAACATGAGTAAGTATTTGACATGAAAACAAGGCCATTGTGTGAATGAGAATAATTGGTAAGGTCTATCCTACTGCATTACCCCATTAATAGCAAACTTAAAGATGATTTCCACTCTGTTCTGCGCATCAGTTCTGCTCATAACAAAGGGGAACCCCCAGATATAAACAATGCCCAAATTGAATTGAAACGTAGAATTTATATTAATTTATAAGTTCTTTGTATGTTTGCATGTCGATAAAATTTAGTTTTGTTTGTGGAAACACCACATAAATTTAACCAGAAAAGTGTTAGGCATTCAGTTAGTATATCATATTTTACAAATATAGCAGTTCAGAATGTAAACAAAGTTCGCACATGCGCACAGGAGTGGACATCATCTTTAAGCAAGTGACGTCTTTGTCAACACAGACATCACCCGAAAGATTGGTTTAATTAACTACTTTTGGCGGCATTTTGAATCATAGCGCTCGTGTAAGGAAGCAAAAAACTTTAAAAATCTTATGTTTTGTCAGATGTGTTTAACGTTACCACAAACTGATACAAACACAGTTTTTAATCCAGTCCTCCGTCCCGGCATTCTGACGTCCGTGTTGACAAAAAATCATCGCTTGCTTGCTTAGCTCGCTAATGTGCAAGACTCTAATAAAATCGTCTGGCATTAGATAGAGAAAAATAATAAAGTAGGGCACATTTGGGTGCATTGCAGCATTATTTTACTCTGTCTAACACCAGAAGATTTTACTCGGCAAGGGGAGATCGAGGGCTGCCGCGCCCAGTCTGGTTAACCTGCAATGCACCCAAATGCAATGTGCCAGACAATTCTGCTGGTCAAAGGCAAAGTCTTGCAACTATTGTCAATCTTTAACAAGATGTACAGTACATTCTTTAAAAAATTCGGATTGCAACAATCAAAATGTCACAATGTCAATAATATGCATTCAAGAATTTCCGGTGTAAATAAACAAATAAAAACAATGTAAAATAAAACATGCAGCAAGCCTAATCGACGCTTTATTTAGCAAGGATGCAAAGAATACACACATACACAAGTCGGACTTACAGAATTTCCGAGTTTATCGTCTGCATCAACGCTGGATTCTTCTGCTTTCGCATCCTGGAAAATTCAAAATGAGCAACGATTATTAAGCGTGACTCAAACAGCTAAACAGATATGTTCAAAAGAGCAACAAAACAACCTGTTTTAATCTTTTAAATGCGAAGTAATATTCTACATTATTTACAAGGCATACAAACCTTTTTTCGGAATCTTTTAAACATGGTTTTTATTTGAAAATTGCTTTGAAATTCATCATAGTATTTCTCGTATTTGAGCTTGGCAAATTGACACTGATCTCAAACATGACATGGACAACGAAGTCGCAGACTCACCACTGATCTCAGTCATAATCTGGACAAACGAAGTCACAGAGTTTTCAACGGATCTCAAAAACGAGCTGGACAGCAGTTACCACCGATCTCAAACACTTTTAATTATTCATTTTGTGCTATAGGATTAATGACATTGTATTGATACACAGGTAAAAATCTCACAACTTGTCAACAAGATGTGTTCGCAACAGGCTCGTAGCAAGCTTGTCAACAAGTTGTAACAATACTGTTATTTTATCAAGTTGCTACAAGACTGTCACTCACAACTTGTTGACAAATTGTTGAATTTCAGGACGATAACAAGTTGTTTGAACAACTTGTAACAAATCTGTTAGGCTTGTTTTATACGTCGAATTTTGGTCGTGTCGAATGCAATTAAGACAATAGATAATGAGATGATAAACCTCATTAAGCTTCATTATCTATTGTTTGAATTGCATTCGACGCGACCAAAATTCGACGTATAAAACAGGCCTTAAGCTCAACAAACTTGTAGCAAGTTGTCAACAAGCCGTTGACAGCTTGTCAACAAGCTGGGAACAAGCGGTGCGAACACATCCTGTTGACAAGTTATTGGAATGGTATTGCTACAAAGCTGCTGCAGGTTTGTTACAACTTGTGCGTTTTTATGTGTGTAACCGTCGTCCTGATGTTGCCGTCTTACTGTACATGCGTAAACTCCGGCCTGTTAGTTGTGGACAACGAAGTCAGTACTAAATAAGTGGGGTGAACTAAGTTGAATTACGAAGTTGAAGGACGCAGCTCAACCTGATTGAGTCGAAGGCTTTCTAAGAGGGTGATTGCTAGACAGTATACTTCAAAATAAGGTTTCTCTTTTTATAACATAGTATACAAATAATGAATGTTTATGAGTGCAATGGTAAGAATATTTTCATGAGGTGAAAGATGGAATGTTCCATTCAACGAGGCGACAGCCGAGTTGAATGGAACATTCCATCTTCCACCGAATGAAAATATTTTTACCATTGCACGAAGAAACATTCATTATTTGTTTTATATAATACCAAAAGTCCAGAACAGACTAATAGATTCGTATGAGAAGCATTTTGAGGGATGCGATTTATCGAAAACACAAAGAGTGCAATTGTACTATACGTTTTATTCCATTGCACTCGCGGAGAGTGCAATGGAACGTGACTCTTGGGAAATGGAATTTTCTATTCAATATCACGTGACCATAAACAGCCAATTAAACGATTAGAATTTAATAAGGTATTATATAAAAAAAACTAACCCAACGCAAAACTAAACCCTAACCGTAATACTAGCCCTAATCCTAACCCCAACCTAACCCTAACCTAAACCCTAACTAACCCTAACTTATTTTAAAAATTGATATAAAAACGGAAATCTTATTTTGAAGTATACTATCTAGCAATTGCCTTTCTAAGAGCGCCTATGGCAGCCACCTTATGACTCATGTCTGATCCAGTGAACTCTAATAATAACTGCCAAAATGTTTTATAGTATATATTTTTGAGTTGAACGGCGAGATTTCCTTCGGCACATCCAAACTTTCGTTATTTTTCAAAATACAAAAGCAAAATTCCTACAGTCGGAACTAATCGGAAACTTGGTTTAAATTCCAAGTCATTGTTGTATTCCCATGGGAAAAGTGTTTTTCTTGCAAATTTTTGCTCGAAAACAAACTTTTGACAGAATTTTTTTCACTCCTCGAAACTCTCCTTAGTCCTTTTGAAAGCTGATTTTCCCGCGCGCCGGCCTCAACGAATCATAGACTTTCATCATAGGAGTCAGCCTTCCAGTTATTATTAGAGTTCACTGGTCTGATCACGGAGAACAGCTACGGGGGAAGGGTGAGTTAGGGGGATAATCCCAACCCACCCTGTCAACATTTCCTGTGGGTGGAAACCGGAGTACTGGAGAAAGGCCCGAGACTTTCGGTGGATATTAGTCCGTAGTGAGAGACGGACCTACAATCTCAGAGGTAAAAGTGCGCCACCGCCCCCGGTCACCAAAGCCCCTCTCAAAAAAATAATTTGAACAAACGAGGCTAGGTGAAACTTTTGAAAAATCTTCAAGAATCTATCTAGTTACCTTTTATACATCATAATCTATCACAATTATAGGAATATTTACAAAATAATAAAAATCCTAAATAAAGGCTATGATTCTATGAAATAAAGCTGATTCTGGGTCACAATCATGAAGATATACGTATATGAATGTTTGCTTCAATATATTATAATTATCATTTTGCTTCTTCGAAGTATGTTCCAACCCAACATATTTAATATAGGTTTGAAAATTTTGCTTAAATTGCAACAGACGTTTTCCGTAGCGACGCGATACGGAATCTATAATATTGCAATAATTCCTCTGAAAATAACGTTCCTAAAAGGTACAGATAGGTGATTTTTTACGTTGCTACGGAAAGCTATCTAGTATAGTTTAATTTTTATGCAGCCTCAAAAATTCCATACGAGTACTACACACATAAAAATCTCACAACTTGTCAACAAGATGTGTTCGCAACAGGCTTGTGGCAAGCTTGTCAACAAGTTGTAACAATGCTGTTATTTTATCAAGTTGCTACAAGGTTGTCACTCACAACTTGTTGACAAATTGTTGAATTGCAGGACGATAGCAAGTTGTTCGAACAACTTGTAACGAGTCTGTTGAGCTCAACAACCTTGTAGCAAGTTGTCAACAAGCTGGGAACAAGCAGTGCGAACACATCCTGTTGACAAGTTGTTGGAACAGCATTGCTACAAGTCTGCTGCGGTTCTTACAACTTGTGCGTTTTTACGTGTGTAGTTAACGTTGCAAAGCATGGTCTATGTCGCCATTCTGAAAACTCTCATCACATCTTGTTCATCTCAACAGCAACAACATAAGACGTCCTTGCTTCACAAGCTTCTGAAAAATATTTTAGAACAAAATGTCACACAACAATTCAAAGGACAGCGCAGAATAAATGCAGTGTCGACCTCATTGAGTGCCGGCTCTCCCCTTGACGAGTAACTGAGTAAAATCGTGCAGCGTTAAACTGAGTAAAACAATAAAGTACACACGTAAAAATGCATAAGTTGTTACAGGACTGCAAACAAGTTGTTACGAATTTGTTCACGAGTTGTTGACAAGTTGTGTTCGCACTACTTGTTCCCAGTTGTTAATAAGGTTAAGACTGAACCTGTTAACAAATTGTAACAAGCTTGATGGCATTATCATACTTGTTACAAGGTTGTTCTGACAATTCTGATACAGTCATGATATAACAAGAATGTTACAAGGTTGACGATACAAGGTTGTAACAATATTGTTATACTCATGACTACATGTATCGGACTTGTTGGAACAATCTTGCAACAAGCTGATAATATCAACAAGGTTATGTAACTGCACAGCTTGTAACAAGTCTGCAAACAAGTTGTTATAAGTCTGTTCACAAGCTGTCAACAAGTTGTGTTCGCATTGCTTGTTCCCAGTTTGTTATAACAAGTTTGGGACAAGCTGTTAACAACTTGTAACAAGCTTGATGGCATTATCAGCCTTGTTACAAGACTGTGCTAACAAGTTTGTTACAGCCATGATATAACAAGGATGTTACAAGGTTGTCAACACAAGGTTGTAACAATCTTGTTACATCAAGCATGTAACAGACTTGTCAGAACAACCTTGCAACAACCTTGCAACAACTGATAATTTCAACAAGGTTGTTACACGTTGTCAACAAGTTGTTCCAATCCTGCCGTTGACAACTTGTGACAAGCAGCGTGAATACATCTTAATTGTTGACGGCTTGTTGGCAGACTTGCTACAAGATGCGAGATTTTTCTGTGTTAACTTGCGCGCCGTACCTGTGGTTTTCTGAATTTTCTTTGGCATTAAACATTCCTTAGAATAATTCCAGTATTTGATAAATTCAACTCTGCAATCAACACGAAAGGCGAATGTCACTACAGGGTTGAATAGTAGAGGAATTAATGTGATGCCAAACAGCACTGCCTTCGTTTTTTCCTCTGGCTCGTCTTCGCTGAAAAAGATGGAAACCAACATTGCGACCTACATGGTAAGATTCGTAACGGCTCATTAGCATTTAAAGCGTGCCACATGATATTTCTGCCGTGTAATATTTGGGTCATTCTGAGAGGAATTGTGATGTCTTTAAAGCAACAAACCTCATTTTGATCAACCTTTTCAGACAAAATTCGCTTGCGTATAGTGAGATGTCCAAAATTTACCAAAAAACGACCTTAAAAAACGACCCATCTTACGAATTCACTGGCGAAGTAATTTAAAAAAACATTGTCAAAGCCGAGAAAATCAAAGCCAAAGTTTATGTAAACAGGACAAATCTTTATCCGATTTACAAACGTTGATTAAACATTCATTTCTTTTGTATTTTCCTCATGAATTATCAATGAGTTTTTAATTAACATTAATTTTAGTAGTTAATGCATGTAATATGTTCTATCACTTTGACTTTGTATATATTTTTAATACTTTAATGTCAGGCCCGACTTAACATTAAGAGCTCGACAACCAACCTCGTACCCAGGGCCTTTGCGCGGTTCAGAGGCTCTGGTACGGGAAGCAAAGGTATCTTTTGTTTTGTATCAGTATCCTTTGCTTCCCGTACCAGAGCCTCTGAACCGCGCAAAGGCCCTGGCCCTTGCAACTGTTCCTGGTTAGGTTTAAGAAATGTATACAATTCACACTCGCAGTGTTTGCAGAAAGCAAACAACGTTATCTGTACTTACCAAATTTGGTGTCCAACAAAGTACAAACAAACTTGAAACTGCTAAAACAAATATTATCGTCTCGTTCGGATGACTTGTCGCAACCCTCATTTTGCGACGTTTTTGAATTAGTTGCAACTTTTGTCGCAACGATCCAAAAATAACTACGATAGTTAACACATATAAGACAATGTTAAGAGATAAACTCGCATAAAATGCGCTATTTTGATTCCACGTTAACATACAACTTGTGTAGGTGGCTTTTGACGAGTAGTTTCCATGTTTTGTCAGTGGTAAAACAGCAATAAATGTTCCGTATATGATACAGCATATTACAACAATTAATGGAATTGTACTTTTGCTGCGCGAGTAGGCATGATACACAAACGGCTTGACCAGGCAATAAAATTTATCTGTTTGTAAAACCAACACCCCAACGGCAGCGAAATGAAATGAAAACGCTTGAAAGAAACCCAGAACATCACAAGCACCTTCCGAAATTCTTCCGTCTTTTGTCAAGCGTACAATGGACATTAAAGTTAGAATGAGTCCGTGAAACGAATACCCCATGTCGACTCCCAAAAGATTGTACGCTGCGTGGCATTTTAAACCAAACTTCGATCTTTCTTGCTTGGCTTTTCTCAACCAGATGATTGCGGTTGTAATTATGTTACCAAGAAAAATAATGATGCCCAAAATAAGCCATACTGAACTCATAAACGTCGCTTGAGAGTTTAAATCCATCACGTTTAAATACAAACGCCAAAATGAAAAATCAACAATCTCTTCCGACCTATATGTACACTACGCGGACGTTTCATCAAGAATGACGCATTTTTAATTACTAAAACCTAATTAATGATTATATCACAGCATGATTAGCTATGGTAGCTGAAAAATAAATCAAACTACAGAATTATATATTGTATAAACTAGACTATACATTATCAAAATCAATATATTCGCTTGATTGTATGACGAGCAAAGTTCGTCGTACTTAGTCGCATAAGAACGGTTAGCGCTTGACATTCTCACTTGAAGGAACATTTAAAATTACGTGGAAAAGGTTTTCATGAGCTGTCCCCATCTTGTATTATTGTGGATTAAAGGAATACCAAACGGTTTTCCGTGCAGGATAGCACCATGACCAGTACTAAACCCACCGTTAATGAGATCAAAATGGAGAACTTCTCATTGTTTTCAGTCAAAATATTTCCAAAACAAAGTCGGTAGAGAAGTTTTATGGACGGGCCTAAGAAGATGCTTTCTTTCTATTTAAACAGCAACTCGTAAGCTTTGTGATATTTCTCGAATACCTCAAAAGCTGTCAACTGCTGTTTAAACTGCCTACGTTTTTTCGATACGAAAAGGCGCTGAATTATAAAATTGACTTCAAACGCCGTATATTTTTTGACCACGTCCAACGAAAACAGTTGCCAAACTCATGGTATTTTTTTGAACGACCAGTTTCGACACTGGCTTAGTATGTAATTTTGAAAGTTCTATCAAATGAAACTTAATTTTACTGCTATATCCCTTTAATTAAAGGCGTTTTGTTTAAGGACACTTACAAACTATATCTCAAGCTCCACTTTCATCAGTTTACTACAAAATATCCTAAAGAAAAAACATGCAAAGCGAACAAAATATACAGAAATACAAAAGAATAGAATCTCACACTTCGCGCGCTTGAAGGCATCGCCACCCCCTTGCTACGAAAAACATCCTCTCCCCCCGGCTCACACGAACGTAGCCAAATTAGAGTCTTCTTCGTCATCGTCGTCAAGGTCATCCAAAGGAACTTTCTTCTCGTCGGAGTAGTGCGTACTGACTTCGTGCTTCTCATCGTCACTGTCCGTAACATCTTCGTCATCGTCGAAGTCACCCGAATGTCGGCTAGCGCTGCCGACCACGGAGTGGTATGCTGGTGGCGGTTCGCTACGGCTCGTCACAACAGACCTAGAACTAAATGGTTTGAAAAAAAACAAAACGTTTAGGGCATGCTTCCCAAGTTATAGCCACTTAGGGAGCGGTCATTAGAGACCTTCCGATTTTAGGACGACAACGCGACGGCGAAAACAATCTCCTTCAAATAAATGGTAGTAAAGATAGTTCGTGGTATATTATCAATCGTATGAATTTAATACAGTTTTAGAAGTTGAAAATATGGGTTTTATTGTTGGAAAGAGTTCTGCTGAACCCAGTTTGAAGTTGCACTTGTTGCGGCTTGAAATGCAGCCGTTGTATCAAGACGTGAAAATCTGTGATTTGGCGTTGTAAACAGAGCGAGGACAATATCTAAATTATTCATATATTGTAATTACTCAATTCTTTTCGATGATCTATTGTATTGGTAGCCGTTGCGTTGCCGTCCTAAAATCGTAAGGTCTATTACTTATGGCTGGAGTTGACACCAAAAAGAAATGTTTTTCTTGGAAAAAATTTGCTCATCCAAATCTTTTTACCCAACCTCAAATACCGATTGAAAAAAAACACCACACCCCTGGCCAAAACCTTTACAAAAGGATATCATTCAGTTGTCACACATGTCCTTTACCACTTCTGTGACACGAGTTTGATAACTGCTTGTGCAATTTTCTGCAGTCTAAAGTTTCATGTTGTCTGCAAATGTATACTATCTTTGGAGACACCATTTGCCTCCTGACAAATCGGAAAATAATCAAGATAGTAACTCTGATTGATTGATTTACATAATTTATTGACATATGACTGTTGACATTGCTTTTTTGTCATCAATATTTGAGTGAATCATGCTTTGGGAATGACAATATTTTTTTTATTATCCAAACCATTGTTTCGTTTCCCATTTTGTTTATCCAACCCTTTTCTCTTCGGTGCTCCTCCC